TTTTTCCCCCCGGTAAATGGAGTGTTTAGGAAAGGAAGTTTGCTTTTAAGTGGGGTATCTTTGCCTTTTAAATGGAATATTTTGGGCAGAAAGCATTAAGTTCCTGGGCTTTTTCACAGTTCAAAGCATACTCAGCTGAGTCATAGAATCACGGCATGATTAAGGCTGGAAAAGACCTGAAGATCATCAAGTCCAAACATTAACCCAGCACTGCCGGGTCCACCCCCAATCTGTGTCCCTCGGCACCACATCCGCAGGGTTCTGAGCGCTTCCAGGGCCGCAGGCTCCCTGCTTCCCCGGGCAGCCTGCCCCAATGCTTGTCCATCCTTTCAGTGAAGAAATTCTCCCAAATATCCAATCTAAACATCCCCTAGCACAACCTAAGCACATTTGCTCTTGTCCCACATCCATCCATCCATATAAATCCATATCCAGGCACAGGCTGAAGCCAAAGCGTAAACTCAGTTCTGATTAAAGCCACAGGTGCACAGTTTTTTCTGTGAAAAGCATAAAAACGTCCCTCTTCTCTGGCTCCATCCCTGCTCTGGGTCACACCTACCCCTGGGAAGGGGCTCAGCAGCTTCTCCCTGGTCCCTCTGCAGGCTCCTGCCCTCCAGCCTCGCGTCTTATTTATTTTCCTCGTAGGTGGAGAACCGTGACTCAGTGGTGAATCTTGGTTTCAAGGATCATACAGTGCTTCACCTTTCAGTTTCAATGAACCAGAAAAAAAATGGGAATTTCCCTTCTCCTTCTCACCATGAACACTGTGGAAAATACTGAGCCCTGGCTTTGGGAAGGCTGACTTACACCCACAGCTCAGACCCCAGCCAAGAGGTTGGAACTGGACAAAATCTTGGAGATATTCACAGAGACAAAACAATTTATTGTTTTTCTGGGCAAGTTTGCATTGCTGGATACCGGTGCAAGGTAAATATTTCAGGCTTCATTCAGCTTGGAATTCCACTCAGAGGAAACATGCAGGAGTTTGTCAGCACATAAGAAAACCTTCCTGGCAATAAGCAGAGTACCAGATGTGGCACTCAGAGCTCTCCGTGCTGGGTGAGATGGTTTCCCTTAGTGGTACCTGACCATTCCTGGTGTGTAAATCAGGGAACAGCTGCTGCTGCAGTAAAACACCCCTGTTATTCCTGCTGTGTAAAGCACGCAGTGGCAGGAGAATTTTGGGAGCAGCCAGGAAGAGACACAGGCAGATATTGGGCTGGACTCCAGGGCAAGCTCTGCAGCATCTTTGATCTCTCCCCAGCCAGGGCAGCACAAAAGCTCCTGCATTCCTGCTGTGCACACCTCTGTCCCACAGGGAAAGGGCAGGATGCTCTGGGCTGGCTGTGCAGAGGGACACCAGGGCTGCTGCTCACTCTGCTGCTGCCCTGGCAGTGCCTGGGCACGGTTTGTCCTGCCTGGGCACACTGGAAGGACACTCAGATGCCCAAGGTGCAGGGAAGGGTCCTGGGGCAGGTCAGGGCTGGGGGATTTAAAAAATGGAGCAATGTGGCAAAGCAGCTGGATGAGGATTGCTGATTTTGAGAGCTCCATTCTGGGAGAAGGGTCCAGTCCTGCCTGCACTGTCCCTGCAGCTGCTCAGGGCAGGCAGCTGTGCCTCTGCCTCTGCCACAGCCCCTCTGCCTCTGCCACAGCCCCTCTGCCCCCCAGCACCGGCACAGATGCCAGGCTAATGACTCTGCCCAGCCCTCGGCAGGGTTTGGTGGTTTTTCCCTGCTGAGTTTCTCCCAGCCCGTGCTGGGGCGTGTGGCAGCACGTTGGGGTAGGCAGCTGACGGGAAAGCAGCTGCACATCTTTTTCCATGCTCTTGGCTGGGAAAGTGCGCGGCTCTGGAGCTGCAGAGGTGATAATACAGGGTGGCTCATGAGGCAGGATGTGCGGGCAGGTGTTACCTGTCTGTAACTGATCATCCACAGAGTGAACACCACTCTGACACAACACCAGAGCATTGATCCTGCTCCCTCAGGCACACAGACTGCCCCAGCCTCTGCACTCTGGTGTTTTCCAGAAATTATTCTTTTTATTTTTACTTCTCTCTGCCTATATTTACCTCCATCTGGATAATTTTTTTAATCAAATGAAGAGATCTTTTGGCTGATAAACTGTACCTTGTGAAGTGACATCCTGCTGCCTGAGAGCAGCTCTTCCCGGGCAGTGTGCAGAGCACACAGAGGGCGTGCAGAGGAATTTCCATACAGGAGCTATGGGATTTACTTTATTCCAGTGCCAAATTAATATCACTATTTTATCAACACGATTGTATGTCATGATACCTGCAAGAGCAGCAGCTGGGCTTTGTACTCCAGGTCTGCTGCAGCCCTTTGTTCCCAGCTGGAGAAGATTGCAGTCATCAAAACAAAAAGGAACCATTTTCTCTCCTGGGAACAGATCACCAAGTTCCCATAAGGCAAAACAAAATTATGCAATGAGTCAAGACAATGTCCTGGGCATGTGGAGTCTTGCTGTGTGCGCTCAGCACTCACATTCCAGCAGGCAGCTCCGTGCAGGAGAGCAGCACAAAATGGTGGAGAGGCTTCACCCAGCACATCCCAAACTCCCCAGCTGTGCTGCAGGAAAAGGAACAAATCCTTCCCACCCTGTCCCGGCACCCCTCTGTGGCCTGGGGCTCTTTGGGACCGGGCAGAGCTCCTGGCCTCACCAGCCAAGATAATCCCAAAAATGATATAAAATAATTTATAAACATGGCTGTGGCTACCACAGACTCCTTTCCAGTAGCTCTAGTGAGGAGGAAAACAGGGGGATGGATTTATTGTTGTTTTTCTGGTGGGCAGCCCCACAGCTGCTCTGCTGTGATGAGGCAGCCCTGAGTCAGGGGCTGAAGCACTCCCTAAAGGAAGGGCTGAGTTCATTGTTGTGTTGTATTCTTCTAGGCACAAGGATAGACAAGAACACCACTAGATAGAAATGCTTTAACTGAAATAGAACAGTCTTAAATTTTCTGGCAACTTCTCTGGTCCTTCCCATCCATCTCCAGGCTTCTGCTGTGCTGTCTCTGTCTTCTCTTTGCTCCTCTTTTAAGTGAAACCAAACCTTGTCTGGGTGTCCTCACATGTAAAGGTGGCAGGTTGTGTTAAACTCCTGCAAATCTCTGTATGTATATAAAAATATAAAAATATAAATATATAAATATAAAAATATATAAATATATAAATGTATATACACAGTCCCACTGCTGGGTCACTTGCAGGTGGGAGTGGGTTCAGACCAAACCCCACTCTGACACTGCAGCATGAATTGCTCTGAAATATCAAATTCAATTTTCAGCCAGGTTCTTAACCGGTATTCTTCCATGAGAGAGGCTCTTCTTACCTAACCAACACCAAAAAAAGTCCCAAAAAACGAGCAGCTTAAATCCATCTGGGCCTTGGCATGTGGGATAAGAGAATCTATGGTTTCCTATTAATGCTGCTCCAATCCTCTTAATGAAGATATTGGGCTGGCTTGGGCACATTTATAGCTCAGGTCATTCTTTCCACTGACACAGATACTGGTGGGGTTCAGAACAATGGGGCTGTGAGGAAGAGGAAGGGGCTGTGAGGAAGAGGAAGGGGCTCTGGGTGTGCTGAACAGAAGGAGCCAGCCCAGGGAAGAGCTGCTCTTTGTGTCTGCCACCATCAGAGCCATAAATGAGCTTCAGGGGAAGGGGCGAGCAGGAGAATTTCCATGGGCACAAAGGGGGAAGGGAATAAGGAGAAAATGCTCTAAAAATATGGAAATAAACAACTCATGCTCTGTTTAGCTTAAAGCTTTAGGATGGAGAGGTGACAGTGAGAGGAATGTGTGTGTATCTGGTGTGTATCACCAATTGTCCCACAGCCTACTGCAGGCATTCAATTATTTCAATCCACCAGCAGGTTTTTCTGTGGAAATGTTTGTTTTCTCAGGATCCCCCCTCTGTAGTTGCTGTTTTTCCTGTGCCCCATCTCACTGGAGCCCTGAGCAGCCCCCACAGGCAGTAACACAAGCCAGCACTGCAAACATTAATGTTCCTTCCCCTATAATCCCTTTTTTCCCCAGAAAACCCTACAGCACAGAGAGTGGGGCTGTGTGTTGTGTGTACAGGGAACCTCTGCTCCCAAATTCTCTGACAGGGAGGCATCAATGTGCAGAAAGACCCTGAGCCCCTGGAGTTTGCTTCTAAATAGGGCACAGCTCAGAACATCTGAAGGTCTCTGGGGCTCATGGGTGGGAATCTCCTAATGATCTTTAGTTATTTTTATCCGTGCCCAGCACTCAGTGCTCAGTGCTCAGGAGCCACTCTGAGATCTCCAGGGCAGCGCACGGAGCTGCCAGCACCTGGGCAGGGAGGAGGAACAGAAAATAAAGCACAAAAAAGGGAAGGTGACACAGTAAACAGCACTGACATCAGAGGAAGGCACGGGACAGAGAGCAGACAAAGAGAAAAGGATTTTGGCAGGGTTTTTCTTCTTTTTCTTCTGTTTTTAATCCTGCTTTCCGGAGGAAAATGGGGCAGCAGTTCACCAACGCTGAAGGGGAGCAAGGGGAGATTGATGTTGCAGAGCTGCAGGAATGGTACAAGAAGTTTGTGGTGGAATGTCCCAGTGGGACCCTCTTCATGCACGAGTTCAAGAGGTTCTTCGGGGTCCAGGACAACCAGGAGGCAGCAGAGTATGTGGAGAACATGTTCAGGGCTTTTGACAAGAATGGGGTAAGTGCTCAGAGGGTTCTGCAGTCATTTATTTCTGTATATTATATATGTAACAGGGGACCAGTGAGGGCAGCAGAAGGAGCACAGGCTGGCCTGGATTTATCTCCTCAAATCTCCACCTAAATTAAGGTCAGAATGTCCCCTTGAGGGACTAAGGGTGGATTAAAAAGTTGAAACTCAGGCAGTCACACTTTGAGGCCCTCAAACAGCCAAGGCTCCCACATGGCAGAAATATTTCTGTGTTGAGATAGAGGGGAAATCTCAGTGCGGGAAAATCCTACTCAGGCTCGTTCTGTGCTGGAGGAAGTGTCTGCAGCAGGTACCAGCAGGTGGTTTGTAATAAAATATTGATTTTAGCTCTGCTTTCCAAAAGCAGAGGAATGCTGAACAATTCAGACATTCTGGGTTTGATTCCCTGTGCCATATTTGCCATGGAACACCTGGGGAAATTGGGATTTGTGGTTTAGCCACAGCTCCTGCATCCCTGCCCTGCTGCAGGGCAGCCTGGCCTGCCTTGGGTTCTCAGCTGCCCTGGCTGAGCAGCACTTGCCAAATGGGGAAATTGTTATTTTCCTGAAGCTCCTGATGATATTCCAGCTGTGGGGATGTTTGTTCCTTGTATCAATGAATGTTTGTTCCTTGTATCAATGAATGTTTGTTCCTTGTATCAATACAGGAAAAGGGGGCTCAGGCTCTTCATCCCTGATCAACTCATCTCCCTTAAGCTCCCTTTGAAAATAGGGTCAAAATCTCATGGAAGTGGCAGCAAAAGTCACTTTGTGGGAAAGGATTTAAAAAGGCCGTGGAAGATGTTGGCAGGTCAGGCTTGTCTCAGAATTCCAAGTTGTGAAAAACCAAATTCCTGCAGGATCCCAAATTCCGTTATGAAAGCTGTGGGGAAAGGCAGCAGAGCAAACTGTGCACAGAAGATGAAGTCCCATTCCTAATTTACAGGAGTTTTCCTAACAGGACAGAGGCTCTGTTTTTGGGGGTGCTGGTGGGTGCAGGATGGGGAGGGGAGCCCAGGCTGGCTGCAGGTCCTGGACTGCCACAAACCTTCTCAGAGTGCCAAGCAAGCCCTGCTCCATGCCCTGTCCTCCTGGCAGCTCTGGCCAGGCTTCCTGGGAGCTGTAAAGCGCCTTTCCATCAGCTCTCTGCCCTGCCAAGTGTCACCCAGCTGCTGATTCTCTGCTGGCACAGGACAACACCATTGATTTCCTGGAGTACGTGGCTGCCTTGAACCTGGTTTTGAGGGGGAAGCTGGAGCACAAGCTGAGGTGGACGTTCAAAGTGTACGACAAGGATGGCAACGGCTGCATAGACAAACCTGAGCTGCTGGAAATCGTTGAGGTAGGTGGGCATTGCCCAATCCCTGCTTTCAGCAATCCCTGCTCTGTGGCAACGCTCTGGGCTGTGTGGGGTTTGGGGTAATGGGGTTCCAAGGGTGCTGTGGGGCTGAGCAGGTACCCAGGTACCTGTGCTCCTGAGGCCGGGGAGAGGCTGGGGAACACGTCCCGTGTCTGAGCACGTCCCATATCTGAGCACTGCTCATCCCCATGTGAGCAGCCCCGGGATGTGCAGGGCCCCTCCTGTGGGCAGCAGGGCCCTGGCCAGGAGGGTGAGCAGCTGGGAAAGCAGGGCAGCCTGTCTGGGCCACCTCCCACTGCAGTTTTGAGGTCAGCCAAGAGGTGCCCAGAACGGTGAGGCCACTGCTAATCCTCTCTGTGGGCAGCGTTGGCACAAAACCCTTCAATCTGGGCAGCAAAGGTAACCACGGGCACGTGGTGCCATGGCAGGGGGGATGCAGTCTGAGCCCTTCCCTGGCAAAGGGGGGCAGAAACTGAGGGTCCGAATGTGAGCTGAGCCAGGCTGGATCTGCAGCTGCTGCCCCAGGGCTGGCTCAGTCCAGCTGTGCCTGGCTTGGGATGCCATCCAACACTCCCATTCAAGGCCTGTGGTTTTCCCCATCTGTGGAATTCCCACTTTGTTCTCTGCCAAGGAGCCCTGAGCTCTGCCCATGTGTGTGTAAGGAGAGCAGCAGGGCAGCAGCCTCACAGAGCAAATGGGGTCACTGATGTGCAGCCATGGGTCAGGGGCTCCGTGCAGATCTGAGCTGCTGAGGGGCAGAACCTTCCAGAAGGGTTAAACCCAGCCTTTGGGAAAGGCTCCACAGCCACGGGGGCACAGAGAGCTCAGTGCTTCATCCCCTGATGTGGGAGCTGCTTGCAGTCCATCTACAGGCTGAAGAAGGTGTGCTGGTCGGACGTGGAGGACAGGACCCCGCTGCTGACCCCGGAGGAGGTGGTGGACAGGATATTCCAGCTGGTGGATGAGAACGGGGATGGTGAGTGATGCCCAGGGGCATTGCTGAGAGCTCACCTGGGCTGGGCTGTGCTGTGTTCTCACCGTGGGCAGCTGGGCTTGGTTCTGCTCTGTTCTCACCATGGGCAGCTGGGCTTGGTTCTGCTCTGTTCCCACCATGGGCAGCTGGGCTTGGTTCTGCAGGACCTGGCTGGGTCCTGGCAGGGCCTGGGTGAGCCCTGCAGCATCCAGAGTGTCCCTTTGGGGTGGGACAGGGGGAAATGCTGGGTCACAGCCCCTGCTTTGTCCTTCAGCCTCAGAGCTGGGGGATGCCCTGAGACTGTCCCTGATCAGCATTTTATGTGACCCTGGGTGGAACCCTCCTCCTCCTCCTCCTCCTCCTCCTCCTCTCTTATCTGCCTGTCCCGCTCCCGCCCACAGGGCAGCTGTCCCTGGACGAGTTCATTGACGGCGCCAGGAAGGACAAGTGGGTGATGAAGATGCTACAAATGGATGTGAACCCCGGCAGCTGGATCACCGAGCAGAGGAGGAAGAGTGCTTTGTTCTGAGAGAATTGGCTCTGGCACGGCTGCGATGGCGATGCTGAGTCCCAGGGGTGACCCTTCCTCCCTCTAGCCTGGTAATGACTTTCATTTTAATTCCATCTCAGCATCCAGATGCAAATCTGAGTGGTTTCAGAAGCCATCTCTGCTGTCAACCCCACGTGCTGGGCACTGCTGGTACCCAGGGGCTATTTCTGGCCCATGAATAACCCTTGCTGTGCACACAATCCCGTGTTTGCCAGCTCTGCGTTCTGGTTACACCCCAAGGAACAAACTCTGGAGGCAGATCCTGAGCAGGGCTTGGGGCTGGCAGTGGGGATGGAGCCTGAGTGCTGTCCCAGAGCAGCCTGGCCATGGCTCAGCCCTGCAGGGCAGCACGGGCAGCTCTGGATGCTCAGGGGGCTCTGTTGATGCTCAGGGGTCTCTGTGGATGTTCAGGGGTCTCTGTGGATGTTCAGGGGTCTCTGTGGATGCTCAGGGGGGCTCTGTGGATGCTCAGGGGTCTCTGTGTGTGATTTGCAGCCTTTACTGCTGCTCATGTCCAACATAACCCCACCAGAAATGCGATTTGGGTGTGAGCAGTGGCCAGGGCAGCACACAGAGCTGAGGGAAACAACCTCAGGGCTGGGCAGGAGCAGCAGCAGCTCCTTCCTGCCCCTCCTGGGGACCAGAGGCTGCTCCTTCTGCCTGCCCTGAGCCCGAGGGGCTGAGGGATGCTGGCTCCAAACTCTGGCATTTCCCAGCCCCACTCAGAGCTCAGAGCAGCCCGGGTGGGTCTCAGTTCCTCCCAGCCCCTGGTTCTGGGGAATCCTCACTGGAGCAGCCTCTCCTGCCCTGGGAAGGGTGGATGAGCCCCGGGAGCCCCAGGATTTTCACTGCTCTGGGAACAGTTTGGAGTGGGAGCAGAGGTGAGGGAAGAGCAGGGCTGTGCTCGGCAGTGTCTCTGCAATGGGAGGATTTTTGCTGCTCCATTGGCAGGACCACAGAATCAGAAGTCATGGATGGTTTGGGTTGGGAAAAACCTGAAAACTCCCTGATGTCCAAGCCCCCTGCCCTGGGCAGGGATGCCACATCAGGTTGCTCCAAGCCCTGTCCAAACTGGCCTTGAAAAGTGGGAAAAGTGACAAAAATTCCAGTACAGTGGTTTTACACTGGACTTCATTTAGCCCCAGATATAGAATTTACACCAGTTGCAGGCTGAGCTCTGCTGTTCTAACCCATGTTCCTACATAGATGTATGTGGGAAAAGGTTTGGGGTTGAATCAATATTTTGGTTCACCTTTATTGGATTTACTGGTTCATTCAAAAGAGGAAAACCCCCCAGGAAAATAACATGAGCTTGTCTGTTCCATCTGAATTTTCCTATGGGATCAGTGGGCCAGGTCATCCCAATGAAAAGATTTACAACCCCTTTTTTGTGGCCTTTAATTAGGACTGTAGTAGCTGTCATTAGCTGATTAGTGTGCTGGTTTGTGGTCTTGTCAGTTTAGCCAGTGTTTAAATTCCATGGGGAAGTGCTCAGCATCAGACACAATCAGTGCAGGAGTTCAGATTGTGCACATTTCCACTTTGAAACAGCCTTTCTATGAGTTCTCTGTAAATACTGAGCACTTTGTGCTGTGCTGACTTATCAGGGCTGATTACACTTGTGCTTTCTGCTGCTCGGAGGCAGCTGCTCAAAGCTCTCTCTGGTCAATAGTTCATCAGCTCAAGATCTGAGAGAAAAATCTGACTTCTGGCTTGAGAGCCTGGATGAAAACATCCACATTTATTGATTTTCCAGCTTGTGAAAAAATGTTTTCATTGCAGGGTACAAATCTCTAAGAATTCCTTACATTTCAGCATCTCAGCCCAGGTAATGCCCCCTGCTCCTTGCACGGATTTAGAGAGGCTGTTTAGTTCATAGAATTGCATTTTGCTGCTTCACTGAAATGCTTCAAATTCTGCAATTCTGCTCACCTGGCCAGCCCAGGCTCTGCAGGGGCTGCTTGGGGACCCAGCAGCCCTCCCTGGTGAGCCCTTGTACAGATGTTGGTAGAAGTTTTGTAAAACACGACTTGAATAAAGAAATATTTATTAAAAACCCTTGTTTTGCAGTATCTGTTTGTTGATTAGGTGAAGAGCTGTGTGAGCACCTGAGTGAAACTGCAGCCTGTGAGTGTGATATATTGAATTTAGGGGAGGAGCAGCTGGGTCAGACAGGGATAAGGCAGAGATGACGATGCTGGTGCAGAGTTGAGAAGGAACCTCTTGTGTTTAACTTCGTGTGATGACAGCAAAAACCGTGAGAGCATAATTAAAAATACAACGTTTCTCAATGGAACTGGGAACGGGTGTTTAGAATAAAGAAAGCAGAGTGCTGCAGTTGGATCCCCCCGTGTGACCCTGCAGGCCTGGAGCAGGACAGGAGCTGGTTCTGAGCCCGGGCACGGAGCTGCAGGGGCTGTGCTGCTGTCAGAGCTGGCACAGCCCATGGAAAATCGTTCCTCTTATCAATCGTGTAATCTCTGGCCGAGGAACGCAAGGCGCTATTTTAGAGCCCTGGCTACAGAGCCCTGATCTCTCGCAGTCCCATCAGCGCTCAGCGGGCTGTGGATGTCAGAATTTGCATAATCCCATTGCCAGACTTAGGGCCGGCCCCAATTGGATTGCACTGATCTGATCGGATTTCTTTCTGCTCTAAACGGGGAAGCAGGAGGGCTCGGAAAAGGCAAATGCCACCTGACGTTTCTGGGCTGCCATCTGCTCCGTGCCCTGCAGCCGGGCGGGACTGAAGGGGCAATAACCGGGCTGGGAAGCTGCAGCTGAGGCTGAGGTGGAA